CGCCACGTAGCGAAAAGAAGAAACGACTGGCGCGCTGTTGTTAACTCGGCTATAATCGCGTAAGCGGTGTCTACGCCAATCAAGAAGAAGAGGAACAAAAAATCTCCAGCTGCTTCAACTGTGGTTGGTGTTAATGCCAATTGTGATCTCGATGTCGTCAAACCTAAGAAATGGATTCACTTGTCTGCCTTTTAGAACTCAGTCACTGAAGAAAGTATTATATCTTTTGTTGTTTAACATGCTAATGTTGGGAAAGAGCATCTTTTATGTTATAAATTAATTAAGAAGGATACTGATACTTATTAATAATCTTAAGAGTATAAACTTGAAGTTAGGTGCATCCCCATCTTTTTTTAATGCCGTTTTCTCTTCTTCAGTGAGGCCTTCAGGCATTAAGTTGCGGCCCTTCAAGTTTTTTCCAAAGGGAAGGGAAAACAGGTTAGATGATGCGCCGTTTAATGATGACTTTACTCGTGAGTTTTGTGCACATTCCTCAACTGGCTCTTGTCTTAAGGTGTACCACCAAAATTTATCGGGTATTAGGTGTAAATCAAATAATATTCGCAGCTTTGCTTCACATTTGGACTTCGATATTATCGTTATTGCTGAGATTTGGCTGAATTCTAGCTACTTTAATAGTGAATATTTTGACTCAAATCTCTACTACGTCTTCCGTAAGGACAGATATTATGAAAAAACTGGCTGTTTAAGAGGAGGTGGTGTTCTAGCAGTTCATCGCAAATATCGTCCTCGTTTAATTATGCTTTATAATGATGATTCTATTCTGGACCAACTATATATTTGTATCAATCAAGCTGTGTTGTTGTTGTTGTAACGGCAGAAATTCTGCCGAATTGACAGTCCTTGGCCAGATAAAAATCCGGGTCCGTTCCGGTTTTCGTAGAACCGACTGTCGTGGGAACGACGTAGAACCGACTGTCGCTCTGTTCATGGCAATCTCATACATCCCTCCTAATAGTCCTATAGAGTTGTATAAGTTGCACGCAAATAATATTTCCTC